ACTGGGATCATTTAGAAAGCCCCACACTTAATCATTTTGCTCATTTAATCATATACAAGTCTTAGAAAAATGCTTGAAGTAATCTGAACACCTGTTTTTCCTATACTTTAGGAGTACAGAACCTGTCTGAATAAAACAATCTATTCTGGATCATTAAGACCAAATGTAATTTGGCAGTTATTTGAAAGATGGCTGTTCAGTGTTATGGAAGTGTCCTACCTAGGCAGAATTTCAATTCCACGAAATATGTACATCACAAAAAAACAATATGGAGAGACCCCCCCTCTTCTAGATAAGAGCTTCACGTACAGACAATCCAAAGGAAGTGCTGTCGGGAATTATACTGCCCTCCCACCCATCACCAACAAATTCACATGAGATTTCACACAATATCAGGTGATTTCCAGGAAATAATAAAATCAGGTTCAGACACTCTTCTTGGTTTAGTCAATCTGAATAATTTAGGCTGGAAAAACACCTCTCAAGAATTGGGTTGACTTTTGCCTGCACCTTGCTTACAATGGCACCAATTAGTACCTAAGATCTTCGAAAAGAAAAATTCCATTATTTCTTTTCTTTCTTGAGAGATGTTTTTTTCCCTCCTCCTTTGGAAGGTTTGCAGTACTTTGCTTCCATCTGAGCCAGAAAATTGTCCATTTCTTTTTGCCGATCCTTTTGTCTGCTCTGTTTGAGAAATTAAAACACAAGTTTTCAAAACACAACACTACCTATAGAGACAAAATACTCAGTCTGGTTGCCAGGAGCTGGGAGAAGGGGAGAATAGAGAATAATTACTGATTGGTATGGGGTTTCTTTTTGGAGTGATGAAAATGTTCTAGACTTAGTGTTGATGGTTGTACAACTTTGTGACTATATTAAAAACCACTGAATTGTATGCTTTGAAAGGATAGATGGTATGTGAGTTACATCTTAAAACAACAAAACACCTATATGACCACATATACTAAAGAAAATATTAGCAATAGGAATCACAACTTGAAAGAAGTAGTGATAACCTGCTAAGTTTACCTGAATGACTGCTTTCAAGTTATCCACTCCTTCATGAAGCCCCAACTCCTTCCTGGTTATTTCTGCTTCTCTAGCTTCTTCCTGAGCCTAAAACAGAGACTCACATGAGACCCCCATGGCAACCAGGAAATGCTTAAAATACACCATTTCCCAATTTGAGGATTATATGAACAAAGTTAATACAATTATACAATTACATCTATATCAAAGGGCAACATTCCTGTAAGCAAGCAGTAAATACTGTTTCCAAGAAGCATTTCTACCTGATAGCAAGTATCTTGGCATTCATAAGCCACATGGTGATAGAAAAATGTGCTAGGCGAGCTAGGAAGGGTCACCTAACAAACAATGGCCTCCAAAGTGACGCCAGCATACTGGCACTTCAGATTCCTCTTCTGGAAACTGAATTTACTACATGGCACTGATGGCAGCCTTGTGAATAACCCTGGCTCAAAATGATTTCTCCTGAGTAGTCCAGAATAAACAGTAACAAATTCAGTTTTAACTTTTCTTTACCTGATTTCAAAGCCACTGTCATTTGCTGAATTTTCCTAAGGCATTGTTTCTAAACCACAGAACACCTTAAGGCAACAAGTATAAGAGGGCCCCGACCCCTTGCAAATTGTCAAAGCAGCAATGAATGCAATTAATATTGGGAATGATGACACATTAGGACCTCTTTATCTCAATAAAAAGACACAGTTTCCTCCCATTCAAATTATCTCTCTAAATTCAGAATCGCTTCTGAAGTTTGCCAATCTCTCAAAGCTATGCCACTTCACCCTCAAACTCTGGGGAAGTTCCTCAAGCTAAAAGCCTACTGTTGAATCCAGCTGTGTTCAGTTTCACCTGAGAAAATGATTAATAACTTAACAACAAACTGTCAGTCTGAGTTTAAGCAGATGTAGCCTAGGAACCAAAATGATGATCTTGTATGCATCCACTTGTCCCCTCAGCTCAACAGAAATGGCATGCCCTTTTATTTAAGCAAAACAAGTCCTTTAAAGTTTCACCAAAACCAAAGGCCAGTTAACTCTGTGTGTGCCCTATTTACCTGAAACCTGCAGACTTTGCCCCATTCCACAGTTCAGCCACATAAAATTAAGGCACCTCAAATACTCACCGAAGATCTAAAACCTTACACTGTCTGCTCTCCCTGTTCTTGGTATGAAAGCCAAGTTGAGGTAATGGTTACTCTGGTACAAGTGGAAGGCAACTTTCCCAAAAGCCCAGAGACACTAATGTTTACCACCTTGGATACACTCTTTCCCCAAACTGTCTTAAGCACCTTTCCTCTTGCTATCAGTCCCATCCTTCCCCACTCCCCCAGTTTAATATAGGTGTAAAGTACACACAGACATAATCCTCAATTCAGATAAAGTATTCCTTCCTCAAAGTGTAGTCAGAAAGATACCTTCATCAAAATGAGCTAAAATGTTTATATATGTGTATATATGTGTGTGTATATATATATTCTGGATCCAACCAATAATCAATCTCTGGGCAAACGCCCAAGAATCTGCATTTTTAACAAGATAGTCTCTAATGTCCTCACCCACTCCATCCCTCAACTGAGTGAGACTCCATTACTTTATCTCTTAAGTGTCTCAGCAAACCTACAAGAACTGGCCCATATGAAAAATATTTCAGGCTCAGCGCCCATAGCTCAGTGTTTAGGGCACCAGACATACACACTGAGGCAGGCAGGTTAGAACCAGGCAAAGGCCTGCTAAACAACAATGGCAACTGCAACAAAAAATAGCCGGGCGTTATAGTGGGCACCTATAGTCCCAGCTACTTAGGAGGCTGAGGCAAGAGAATCGCTTAAGCCCAAGAGTTGGAGGTTGCTGTGAGCTGTGATGCCACAGCACTCTACCCAGGGTGACAGCTTGAGACTCTGTCTCAAAAAAAAAGAAAAGGAAAATATTTCAGTGTTACTTTAAGATATTAAACAATAACATTTCTTTCAATAAAATCATCTTGAGCACAACATACTAGGAAACAAAGTTCTCATTTTACTAGATGAAAGACATAGATTAACCCTACTCCTTATTTCAATAGTTTTGTGTATACCTCCATTATGATGAAAACCCTTAAATGGTCTTTGGAAGCATTTAAGATATAAAATCTTACCCTCCTTTTCCTTGCATTCATCTTTTGTTTCGATTCTCTGACAAAGGCTTTATAGGATGGGACCTCTCCGGTGTCAATAGCTTGCTGAATAATATTCCTTATCCTGGGTTCCTCTGTGTACTGCACACAAAGCACAGACTCCATGATCTGATCCATGTCACCCTTGAAATCCAGATAGGCCTGTTTAATATCAGCCAGCTCTTCTTCAGAACCTTTGTATGTCTTTTCAAAAGCTTGAATGTCCTCTAGAGAGATCTGATAATAAGGGAGATGTACTTTGAGAATTTTATTTTAAGTAAAAGGTAAAGTACACTACTAAAACTAGAGGTTTGGATGTTGAAATGTTTCTCTCCACGTACAACAGCTGCCTGAGTCAAAACTGTTGCAAGGAACAAAGTTTTCTATGCCTAAGCTATTCCAGAGTTCTCTCTGGTACTACCTTCGAAACTGCTAAGCCAGGGACCAGGGAAGGAAAATTTAAGTGACGTTTCCAAGAATGGGAAGAGACTGAGGTAAATATTAAAGATTTACATTTAAATACATAAAGTACAGCCTATAAGAAAATAAATCCTTTTCACTGCAACAACCCCACTATATCAATAGGAAAACAAAGGCTGTTTCAGTAAAAGTGCGTATATGCGTGTATTTATATTTCAAGATCTAATTCAAATTCCTCATTGATATAAAATTAACACAAAATGCAAAGCTCAGAGGCATTCAATAAACGTTTGCTGATTGAATAATAGGAAGCCACAAAGAAACCTCCAGGGTTTCCTACCTTTTTAAAGAGTAACCTCCAATAGGCCTCCCAATCTCGGTCTTGAGTGAGCATAGCGGAGTCCTCGTCCACTGTTCCCTGTTCATCGTACACTGCTCTCTGTTCCTTATCACTTAAAACAGAATAGACTTTTCCCAGGATCTGAGGGAAGAGCATTCAAAAGTCACCCCCGCACCTCCCACGGAAAGCGCGCCGCGAGAATAAAGGTTAGAAAGCGTAAAGCCGAGGTCAGAGGACTCGCCAGGTGGGGCGAGGTCGAAGGCCGTTCCGCCTTGAGGCAGGGGCCCCTTTACCTGGAAGCGGCGGGTAGCGTCCTCCTTGTTGGCCTCGCCCACCCGGTCTGGGTGCACCTGCAAGGACACTTTGTGGTAGCCGCGTCGGACTTCGCCGTCCGACGCCTCGCGCCGCACGCCGAGCACCCGGTAAAGGTCGGCTGTGCCGAACACTTCCTCGCACAGCTCCAGCAGCCCCATGCTGGGCCCCGGGGGACCTCCACGAAAACAGCCGGTCACACACTCAACGCTATGGAGCTCCAAGAGGTTTTTTTCCCGCTCAAAACGCCCAGGGCGTCGCGTCACAAAAGGCTAGGGAGAGGCGGGGCCCCGTTGCGTAGCCGCGCTTTACGGCGGCCGCAAAAGGGGCGCGGCCAGGCTTGCGCCTGTTGGGGTAAACCCGACCCGGAAGAGAGCAGAGCCTCTTCTCTGGCCCCACTACGCGGTGTTCTGTACCGCCCTGCTCCCTTGGTCGTGGAAATCTGCGTCTTTCCCGCAGCGTCCCAGGACAAAAAGGTTACCCAGTAATATATGGGACGCCGACGTATTAGGCTCTTATAAATTACTGGCCTTTTAAAAAAACAAGTAGAAAACGGGGTATTCGGCTGTTTCACAGGGTTCAACCTAACAAATTTGTTTTTCCAAAGATGACCCTGAAAGAAACAGGTAAAGCTGTAGGCCCAGTTTACTTTGATCCCTCCAGGAAAAAGCCTACATTGGGGGGGGGACCTGTTAGGACTTACGTATTGACGTTTATTACAGAATCAACCTCATGCATCTTCCTGCTCCTGAGTCACCTTACCCATTGGTGGAGAGTATATGACTGAAACCCTCATCTTAATAAAACCAAGCTGCTGATGCAGAGGTTCTCTATTAACACTCTGTAAAGTTCATAGCCAGGTTTCAGCAGGGTGCATCCGAGGTGGTTAACAGCATAGCCTGGAGCAATCATACAAGACACTTTGAGAAACTTCAGCCTGATGATCCAAAGCAAGACAAGGCTGGAGAAAACCTTGGAAATCAGGGAGAAGATAAGCTCACATAAGAAATATGTTTATACAGATCATAGACACAGGAGAGACCACTATACAAAGTGAATACCTGAGTTGGCAGAAATTCAGTGGCTCATAGTAACACCTTACCTTGCTTGGCCTATTTCACATTAATTCTCATCACTGATCTTCACTTTTCAGAATCACTCTGCTCTACCAGTAGTTCCTGCAAAGCCTCAAACTCTACAGGGTGTATTCATGTCTTTTAAACCTCCCAGCTTTTTCCAAGATCAAACCCAGCCAATGCAAAGTATTCCCCTGGCTTCAAAGTATCCTCAAAGCAAGTGGAGCCTAGCCAGCAACAACCATGGGGGAGACTTAATGACCCTAGAATTTGAGATGGCTAGTAATTGTCCTCAGAATATAAAACCTAGAGAATAAAATAAGTTGGTGACTGATTTAACCTCCATAAATTTCCTGTATCTTAGTCTCAAGCCAGAATTTGGAGTCTTCATGATCCAGAATGTGCGCTAAAACCATGTAAATCATGGTTATAAAATCCTGCAGTCCTGGTGGAACAATGTGACATTTTATTCTAGCACAACCAATTATTTCTATTACCAACCTCATGATACCTAAATATGATTCTATCACAGACTTTCTAATCAGACTCTCGAAAACGCCCCAATCTCTGCTTATTTCCCCTCCAAGTTCAACACAGTATTTGGCTTTCCAGGTAGTCACTGGGTAAGTTTCTACCTCCAAGCCTCAGCTCCTCCATTTGTAAAATGGACACAATCCTACTTTCCTTCCTGATACCTTATAATTCTCACAACTATGCATATAAAAGGTCTAGGATATACAGGTACTTTACAACATTAGCTTTCTTCCAGTTTTACATTCTTAAAAGGGAGGTTATTACAACCCAAAAGCAATTTTCATAACCAATCTACCTTTGGAAATTTGAGAGTATAAGTTAGGAAGACAATATAAATCTTCCAATTACAAAATCAATAACCAAGGTTAACTGTTCTTGCATTTATGGACTAACCATGAATGATAAAAGATTTGAATGTGCCCTGATCAATTTGGCTGAAGGCTTTGAAGGAGGACATATTGGGAGACGCAGATTGTAAAGTTAAGAGACCCATGGCCCAACCCCAAAATCCAATCCTCCAGCAGCCACTGTTTTTTCCAAGACAAAGCCTGAAAAAGCTAATCAGTACCTAGATCCAGTTCTATGTCAGACAAGAACCAACCTCTCACTGGGCCCTGTTCAGGCCACATAAGAAGAGCATGGATGACTCAAAGAACTCCATTTATTAATCTCAAAACAGGACAATTTTAAGATCTCTGCACAAGTGTTTTAGGAGAACCTTGATCCCATTCCCACTGAAGTCCCATTCTCATTGAAGTCAGCTTGCTTCTCTTGCTGAAGCCTCTGTGTCTGTTTTCTGAGAAGCTTCTGTTGCTGAAGCCTCTGTATCTGTTTTCTGCGAAGCTAAGAGTACTTCACGTGCCCGTTTTCTTCTCAGTCTCTCAGCATTTGTGATAGTCATAGGATGCAAAGGGAAAAAGCCAGAAAGACCTAAAAGCAAAAGAATTTTTGTTATAACACAATATAGCCACTTCCCTTGGGAACTCTTCCCTACAGAACAGAGGTGTGAGACCTGACCCAGAGTATGGAGGTAAAACCATGACCCTCACTTGCCAAACTCCGTACTACTGCCTATTCTTCCAATTTAATGCACCAACCATGGATGACATCTATTTCCTAACACTATACTCCTTGCTTAAAAAAAAGTTAAACTGGCTCGGCGCCTGTGGCTCAAACGGCTAAGGCGCCAGCCACATACACCTAAG